ATGCTATGCTATGCTATGCTATGCTATGCTATGCTATGCTATGCTATACTATATTTTTCTATAGTATAGAATAAAGTTTATTTAGGGCATGGAGGGGAGTTGAGGGGGTAGTAGAGACAGAGAAAGGCAGAGAGAGAGGAGAGAGAGAGACAAGAGAGAGAGCAAGAGAGGGAGAGAAGAGGCATAGAGGCTGGCCATGAACATGTGGAGAGAGCGGGGAGGGGAACAGCGAGAGAAGGGGCAGAAAAAGAAGAGGATAAAAGAGTAAGAGGACGAGAGGAAGATAGTGAGGAGGGGGTAAGCAGCCAGGCACACCTGGCTGTTGCCAGGTAACTATGGGGCAGAACCTAGAAGAAATGCTGACAGAAACTGATATAGATGCAGAGCCCCATGTGTTTATATTCTCAGGAATCCCATCAAAACACTAAATTAGAAGCTATAATATATATCCAGAAGATCTGTGCAGGCCTTGTGCATGCTGCCTCAATCTCTGTAAGTTCATTTATTTGTGCGCTGATCCTGTTGATTTAGAAAACCTTGATTCTGTAGTGTTCTCCATCCTCTCTGCATCTTACACTCTTTGCACTTCCTCTTCTACAGAGTTCCCCGAGCCTAGAAAGGAGGGATTTGATGGAGATGTCCCATTTAGGGCTGAGTGTTCCAAGGTCTCTCACATTTTGCATTTTATCTGGCTGTGCATCTCTGTGTTTGTCCCCATATACTGCAGGAGGAAGCTTCTCTGATAATGGCTGAGCAAGGCACTTACCTATAAATACAGCAGAATGTCATTAGGAGTCATTTTGTTGCTATGTTCCGTAAGCAGCACAGTAGTATTTGGGTTTCTCTTAAGTCTCTGGTCCAGCTAGTCTCAAGCTCTTGATCACCCAAGCAGCATTGGGTATAGGTTCCATCTTGTGGAATGGAACGTAAGTCAAATCAGATATTGGCCAGTTATTTCCTCAAGCTTTGCATTGCACTAACATATATTGTAGAACACCATTGTAGATCAAAGAGGCTGTAGCTGGGTTAGTGTTTGGTAGCATGCAGAGAACCTTCCTGTACCAAAGACACAAGCATGTAGGGGTGAAGGCTCTATGTAGGCCCCAGCTCAACTTCTCCATGTTCAGAGTCGAGTAGGTGTTGTCTTCAGCAATAGGACCTTGTCATCAGTTTGTGGAGAGCAATCTATAGTCTTGGCAACAGCCTGGGTTGTTTGGGAGACTCCCATGGGACCCCACTAGCCAACAATTCAATTAGATGCAACCTATTTCTGGTACTGGAAGCTTCATGTGATAATAAGAGATGTACAGTTGGAGCTGTGTCCCTCCCCAAGATTTTATTTAAATCAAATATATATATATTTTAGGAGGCTTCTAGTGAATTATCTTTCCCTACTACCCCTCAAATGGCCTTAATTGTAGCTCCCATATGTATTCTCTCCCTTATGCCCTCCACTTGATTCTTCTAACTCCCTATCCACAATCCATCCATAATTATCTATTCTTCTGATCTGTCCTGTCCTGTCCTGTCCTGTCCTGTCCTGTCCTATCCTATCTGTCCCCTGTAGTCCCTTAGTGGCATAATGTGGTGGGAGGGGGTGCCTTAGTAGGTCCTCTCACCAGAGATATCAGCAATATGATGGGTCTAGTATAAATGAAGTTTATTTAGGACATGGGAAGAGGGTGTGGGGAAGGGAGTAGAGGCAGAGAAAGAAAGGGGATGGAGAAGGACAAAAGAGAGGAGAGAGAAAGAGGGGAAAGGCCAGCTCGGAACACGGGGAAAGAAAGAGAGGAAGGGGGAGGGAGGGAAGGAAGAAGTAAAAGAGAGAGAATGAGCCAAATGCTTTTATAGGATGCTAGGTTCACCTGGCTGTTGCTAGGTAACTGCTGGGTGGAGCCTAGAGGAAATGCTAACTCTCTATACTAACCTGTGACATCCATAAATAATAGAATACATACCATATTTGTCTTTCTGAGTCTGGGTTGCTTACTCAGGCTGGGTTTTTTTTTGCTTTTTGTTTTTGTTTTTTTGTTTTTTGTTTGTTTGTTTTTAGTTCAATTCATTTACCTGTGAGTTTCTCATATGTATGATTGGTCCTTCTTAACTCTCCTTCTGGTCCTACCCTAGTGGCTTTGTTCACACAGGAACAATCCAGAAACCAGGAATGTCATTCAAGTTTCCCAGGTCGAGACTTGCACATTATCTGGTTCCTGAATTATCATCTTCACCTCTTTATGACAGAAGCCAGCGAGATGATTTCAGACTTCATAGACTCTTGAGAAGGTGTAACTAACTGGATCACCCATTTCCCTTTTCTGTCCTCATTTACTCTTCAGCGGTCCTGAGCTAACGTATCAGTAATGGTAAAGAAATCTTTTCTGCCCAGAGGCAAATTGTAGCCCTACCAGAAGGCATTTACATCTTAATGTGTTCTGAAAGACCTAAGGACTGTAAAGGATCAAAGAAATCTCTGGGGTCCCCTGATAGAATTTGTTTGCATGAGAGGAAGGGGGCAGCCACCCCCACGTCCTTTCTTAGCCACTCTGCATCGGTAGCTACTTTTTTTTTTTAAATCAGGGCCAGATGCTCATACTCAGGGGGCTTGTTTACTATAATGTGTTGTGAACAGTGTTCCCATCAGCCTCCTGAGGCCATTGGCTGAGACCCTTTCAGTATCACTTTATTAAACAAACAAGCACCTAGACTAACCCATTAACATGGTAGAGAGTTTTTCTAATACTGCATGTGCTGGTGTCCCTGCTGCCCTGGGCAAGGGCTATGAGAAGGTAAAGGGAAGATCAGGGCAAGGACACTTTCCTCACAATGTTAAAAACCAGTCTACCAGGAAGGCAAAGTCCCAACTTTTACTGGAGATATAGCGTCAGAACCTGGGAATCTAGGCTTAGTCACTGGACCTCAAGAGCCAATTAGACAAATACTAAACAATTCAATGTGGCCATCTTGGGAAGAGGAACTGTTGTGTTTTATTAAAAAAAAAAAGAAAAAAGAAAAGAAAAGAAAAGAAAAAAAAAGAAAAAAAGAAAGAAAGAAAGAAAGAAAAGAGAAGCCAGGGATATGTTTGGTAGAGGCGAGGTATGGTGTGGGGGAAGGGGGTGCCTCTGAGGGCCCATGCTGAGGCATTCTTTCCCCCAGAGGTACCAGCCACAGGATGGTGTAGTATAGAATAGAGTTTATTTAGGACATGGGGATGGAAGTTGAGGGAGAGAGAGAGAGAGAGAGAGAGAGAGAGAGAGAGAGAG